TATGGTGTTTTTTTCTTTGCTTTTTTTTTCTTTATTGATAACAAGGATGCATGAGACAGGTGTGACCTTTGTTGTGCGTTCACTGTAAATGCAGCGCTGTGATACCACCTCAGCTCAGCTGCTGCAGTTAGAGGGAAACCTGACAGCTGATGTTTTCTGGAGAATCTGCAGCACAGTCTGTAGTTTCCTATCAAAGCTGCTAAAAGTTCTTTTCATTTGTTTTCTGAAATGTGTTAAAGCCTGATGGATTTTGTGCTTCCACTCAGTGGACTTGTTTAAAAGAACGATTGTTAAATTTCACTCACAGCTTTTCTTCCTTTCTTTGTTGTGCCTTTTCTTTATTTTTATCATGTCATGCAGTTAAAATGCTAATCAGTGTGTGAAAAGATGTTGCTCCAATCAATTTTGAACAACAGAATCAGATCAATCAATAAATATTGATTTGAGTGAATGCATTACTTTCCTGGCACTCTTTCATTACTCAGCTTTATTTTGTGTTTGTAAATGTGGCGAATCTGAATTCACTCACTTTAAAGATTTATTTCAACAAAATGAATATGAATTATATTGTTAACATAAACACATGAACAACAAACAAACAACACGTTGCACAAATTTAAATAAGAACAACAAAGATACCAACCCCAAGTTGCTCTCTGATGCATCCATTGGAGAAGTGGCGGTCCTAGCATGTTTGGTGCCCTGGGCGAACACCCCTCTGGCGCCCCCCCACCCCGCCGCCCACCCCCGGTACACTCCACCCCACCCCCACACATAAAATATATGTGTATATATGTATGAAAAGGATTGTACCTACGTATAAAACGTACATATAAATATTTTACTGTAAAAACTGTTGTTGTTGGTACTAAATTTAACCAGGTAAACATAAACACACACACACACATATATATGAAGAGAGAGAGAGTATGCATAGTATGCAAATGGCTACCAAACAGTCATCATAATTCGTCATACAATGAGAACAGGACAAATCAACTATTGACACTGACTAATAAATATTGTGCTGAACACAGTCCAAAAGATTCAGTCAGCTACATCAGTGTCTACTGTTTGCTATCATAGCCATGTGACACTTCATTATCCCTACTAATTAATGTTATGTATCTGTGTTGTGGTCAGTGCTATCCTTTATGCCTGGGGTCGGCAACCCTAGGCACGCGTGCCACAGTTAGCACGAGAAGGGTTAACTGATGGCACGGCCATAACTGGACTGGCCATCGGGCATTAGCTCGGTGGCCCCATGATTTTTTTTTTGTAGCGGTATAAACAATGAAAGGTGGTGGATTGGCCAGATGCTGCCCGTTGTGTAAAAATAACATCGTGGAGCTTCCACAGATTCAGTAACATTAACAAGTGGTGGAGGCCGGCAGGTGGATGAGGGAGATCAGAGGCAGGAGCAGAGACGGCCGCCGGTCCGAGCGTCAGGTGAACTGAACTTCAGGTAAGAAGTTATGACCTGCAGTCTCTCTGGGTCAGATATGAACCAGGTTTAGTTTATTTTCGTTGTGCTGACTTTTTACAGTCAGTTACAATAACTCGTACTGCTACTAGCTAGCATGACGGAGTTTCTATACAGCTGGGTGGTGCTTTGATGTTACTGATAGTGAACTTTATTGTATTCATAAGGTTCGTTAGTAGAGTCGCCAAGCGTCCCGTAAAAAGACAGAATCCTCCCGCATGTGTTCCCTCTGTCTGTCAACGCTGTCACTGTGTCTGCTTGTGAGTCTGTGTGTTAAGTTCAGCATCTTGTCTGGTTCATCTGTGTCTGTGAGTTTCCTGTTTTATTCTGAAGGTCTCTGTCTCATGTGAGTGTGTTCAGGTTACGCTTCCCCTGTCTCCCAGGTGTGTTCCCCTCCTGCCTCCCATCCCTTGATTACAGCTGTGAGTGTTTAAGCCCTGTGTGTTCTCCCTACTGTTGCTGGTTCATCTGTGTTCATTCCCTGCTTCATTCTGCATCTCCTACCTGCATCTCCTACCTGCATCTCCCTGCTTCACCATTTCAGGTCTGTGTTTTGTTAGCTTTCTCCAGTTTAGGTTTTGCTTCCACACCTTTGCCCTTTCTGTTTGTATTCCTCCTCAATAAAAGCCCACTCACATCACTTATGCCTGCATCTTGGGTCCACACGGCTCGCCTCGCTGACCGTGACAGATAGTCTTTCGGGCAGCCAGACTCAAAATGCCATATAACAGCTTGGTCTCTTTATCCACATTTAATGAGTATAAATATCCAAACAAGAGTTCATCTCGATTAAAGGGAAGTTGCATACTAGGAGTAGTCTGTAACTCAGAGTGAATCGAAACCCAAAAAGTGTTGATCAATGGACAGCACCAAAACAACTGGAAATGTTTTATTCCTTGGGCCCCACAGTTTCTCCAGCAGCTGGAGTAATTACAATAATGTTTACTTTTGGTTTTTTTCCTGTCCCGTTTGGCTCTTTTGCATCAGAATTATTGTCTAAAGGCAAAGAAAGATGCCCAACGGATTTACTTTACCAAACTGACCATCCCAGCCTTGCCGTAATGGTCCATTTGATTCACCTTTTATTGTTTATTTTATTTTCACTTGCTGAATACGGGACAGACTTGACTGGAGGAAAGAAAGAGCTGAGAAGAGGGATGGGGGAGAAGGGCAAAAAACAAAAATAAGCAAACAAAAAAATGCATCTATGGATCACCTGGATCACCTGCTGAGAAAGAAAAAAGAAAGCAAGCAGAAGAGAACAAGAGTAATAGAATAAACAACATCACAATGATATATGGGAATATGACAGTAAATACTAAATTTAAACATTATTGTGCAGCACATAAGATCAACAGACACAGTGTGCTTTGAGGTAGGAGCCAAAAAGGGTGTAGTTTGTGGGTGTGATCACCCGTGTGTACACCTGTGAGCATGGACGCGCTTGTTTTTAAAAGGTTCCTTCATGTAATGATCTACTAGAGCAGGGGTGCCCAATCCCGGTCCTCGAGAGCTACCGTCCTGCAGCTTTTAGATGCATCCTTGTTCCCACACACCTGAATCAAATGAATGGCTTGTTATCAGGCCTTTGCCAAACATGATGGCATGCTGAAGAGATCAAACCATTTGATTCAGCTGTGTTGGAGTAGGGATGCATCTAAAAGCTGCAGGATAGTAGCTCTCGAGGACCGGGATTGGGCACCCCTGCTAGAGGGTGTGGGGGGGCCACAGCCCCGTCCTCCAGGGCATGAAGCAGGTATGGAGGAGATCAAAACTCCAGACATCCAGAGGCCCCCAGAACACAAGAGACCAAGGAAGACCAACAGAGGGGCAGCTGCGCCACTGTCCCAGAAAGAGCTGAGGAGAGTCCCAGATGAGGGCTCACTCAGCAGCCGCGGAGCAGAAGCCAGGGGGAGTTGCAGTGACGCGCCCGTGAGCTCCGCCGGCAGCCAGCTGTGCCTGAGTGACCGAGCCCCAGGCCGAGAGGCCGGGGGCACCCCACCTCCGAAGTGGCCCGAGCGAGCCCCAATAAGCGGCCGCCAAGGAGTGAGCCGGTGTGTACCCGGACGCCCACCCCCAGACACAAAGAACCACCAACGCACCGACACCTGAGGGAGTCCGCCACTGGCAGGGGAAGTGGTGGTGGGTGGAGATAGGCCTCCAAACCTTGGAGGGCCTGAGATGTCCCCAGAGAGGTGGCGTCTGATACCCAACCTGACATATAGACACAGACATACAGGCACACACAGACACAAACATCCATTCCCACCCTCATGCTCTCATATGCACTTACTCCACACTCAACCAACGTGGAGACAGACATAAAGAGACGCTGTACACACGATCACACTCCCCAAGCGTACTCTACAAACCGGGTCTAGGTACCCTTGCCCCTGGAGGGGGGAACTGCACCCAGACCCAGGTGGTGTTACCCTTTTCCCTGCGGTGGGGAGAGGCAGACCGCCCCGACTCCGCAGCAGCAGGGAGGCCCCACACTCCAGACCGCAGTCGGACGGCCAACCCTCCTCCTAGCCCCCCCGCTCCAGCAGGCCGCAGAGAACGGGGGTGAGAGAAGACTCCAAACCTCCCTCCACCCGCTCATTGTAAAAAGAATAATGTTTACTTTGTGCAGGTGTAATAAAAAACCTACAAAGACTCTTCCTTCCTTTCCTTGATTAATTTATTTTTTAATAAGTATCACGTCCCCTAAGCTTGCCTGGGTTGGAAAACTCTTGAGGCAGCTGTTTCTATTTCTTTCCATCTTGCTTGGTAGTCGACATCACACCAACACACTAGGGTCCTCAGTTAAGCTGAAACGTAATAATCTTTCAAACATGGGGACGCCAACCCCTCTTTATCTTTAGCCAGCTGGATGGTTTGGTACTTAATTCGTGGTCTCTTCCCTGCCATATGAACCTGCAAATTATTTTGTCAATTGTTTATCAGTTATTTCAACTGGGAGTGTTTGGAACAGATAAAGCATCCTAGGCAAGACATTCATTTTGACTGTATCAGTATGTGACTCGAAATTTAAAATTGGTATTAAGTTCCATCTTTTAATATCCTTATTTATTTTATAGCACAAAGGTTTAAAATTTGCATGATATATTTTTGAGAGATCTTTAGGGATATTTACTCCAAGATGCTTCGGTGTCTAACCAGATTCTTACCCTGGATTCAGGAGACAGACACTATCTCTACTTTCAAGGTTAGGCTTCAAACTTTCCTTTTTGCTAAAGCATATAGTTAGGGCTGGACCAGGTGACCCTGAATCCTCCCTTAGTTATGCTGCAGTAGGCTGCCGGGGGATTCCCATGATGGGTCTACAAATGTGTTTACAGACCTCTCTGCATTGAATCATTAGTTATTATGAATCCTGGCTCTCTTCCACACCATGTCTTTGTCCATTCTTCCTCCCCTCACTCTGCTTGATGAACTGTTTTTTGCCCTCCGAGCTGAAATCTTTCAGCCACACTTCTGATTGGACAGCTAATGTATTTTAGGGGAGGGAACCAGCAGCAGGCTTTCATATAGGGTGAGATAGAAATTGAAATGGTCAGAAGAAGCCATGAACCGTTCACGTTCCTGCACGGTACCTATTTGTTGTGAAGATTCACAAACCATGGGTGAGTGTATTTGTCCTACAGCTATATCAGGGTGTTGTTTGGTTTGATGCAGTGGATATAAAGCAGCAGCAGCAACCACTCTTTCTTTGTGCTTCAGTTTAAAAGCATTTGGACAGAAAATGAGTTTCAGCTTCACTCTGAAATTTGGTGATTAGCACCAAGCAGCATTTAGAGAAGTTTTCAGCTAAACTGTGCGTGGAGTGCAAACTGCTGAACAAAGTTTAATGTGAAGGGTTTCTAAAATGCAAGGAAAAAATATCAATCATGTGTATTAAAAATGCAGAAAGGAACATAATGAATTACAGTCAACTTCTTTTTAATTGAGTTTGAAAAAACCTTTTATATTTCACTAAATAATCCTGACTTTTGAAGATAAATATACAGGGTAGTTTAAAAATCTGGTTCTTGAATTGAAGAAGTTAATCAGAAAATAAAAAGCAATATTTTTACAAGCTACCAATTAATGATATTTTAGAAACAAAAACATATAAAATCATCATCAGATCAGCTGATGGCAATCAAAATGATCATTTTTCCATAAAAATCTTCTTTTAAAAAACAAAGTCAGTCAGTAGACTTTAAAATGTGTAACGATGGTGAGATTATTTTTATGGTTTTTCTTGTGTCTTGAACATGTTCGTGTTAGTTTCTTTAATGCATTTTGTGTCATAATGATGCTAAGTGATCAATACTATGAAACAGGTTTTTGTGACATAGATTCACGTATTTGAAAGAAACAAGCTCATGGCCCTCTACAGGATCACCGTGTGGACAGTTCTCACATACTTACATTCAGTGTTGGGGAGTAACGGAATACATGTGCCGCCGTTACGTATTTAAATACAAAATATGAGTAACTGTATTCCGTTACAGTTACCGTTTAAAAAGGTGGTATTCAGAATACAGTTACTTTGTTGAAATAAATGGATTACACTGCGGTACTTTCCTGTTTCATGTTGTCGCGGGTCAGGACTGTTTGGGTTTTGTTTGACAGCTACGTTCTGTTGTTCCAGGCGGCAGCGTTACGGTTGCCATGGTTACAGGGCGACGCTCTCTCTCTCGCGACTTTTCGTTGTTGTTGTTGTGCTAAGCTAACAGGCAGAATGCTACAAGCATAGCTCTAAAGAATGTAGCATCATGGGCAGTGTAGTCCGTGCTGCAGGGAGAATGGACTGCCATACACGTTATGGTCTGTGAGCGCGAGGAGGGAGAAAAAGGGGAGTGGAAAGGTACGAGTTGTCATCGAGGAAAAACGGGAGCTGGAAGCATGTAAATATAATAATAACCACTGCAGCCAAGAAGAGTGCCTGACGAGCCCAGTGTAAGTAAGCTATTAAGACTCGACTGTACACCGTGTTCGTGTTTTCCTCCGAAAACAATAAGTTCCGTTGGAGCAGCCTTTCAACGCCTCTCTCTGTCTCTCGCAAGAAAAGTTGACCCACACAACAAAGTAAAGCTATTTTTCGGCTACGAGCCGACAGGGACCCCGCCGTATTAGTCAGAGGTCCCTTTACTACAGTTCGGAGTCGCGGACCTTCAGTAATAGTAATAAATCACACAGCAATAGTACATTCACGTTGTTGTAAAAAGCATGATAATATATTAAGTAATCCAAAGTATTCAGAATACGTTACTGTCATTGAGTAACGTAACGGAATACGTTACAGAATACATTTTGGGGCATGTAATCTGTATTCTGTAATGGAATACATTTTAAAAGTAACCTTCCCAACACTGCTTACATTTTTCCAACAGATGAGCTGAGGATCGTTTTGTTTGGCCGGCAAGATGTCCATAAAGAGAAACTGAAAGAAGTCTTGACCAACAAAGAACTCTTCACCTCAAAGGATTCTTCTAATGTGGTTGTTGTAAATACTCCAGATCTGTTCAAAAGAGAAGAAGAACTAGATGATGTGCTGGAAAAGATCAAGCGTTCCCTCAAACAAGTCAAACCTGGTCCTCATGTCTTCTTGTTTGTGGAGAGGTTTGACGAGATGGAACAAGAGAAAACAAAGGCACTGAGTATTTTTGTGGACACTTTTGGTGAACAGGCATTAGACTTCACTATGATGGTGTTCACCACTGATGATCAAGAAGAAGATGAAGCTGCCATGATGGGAAATTTGGACCAGTTTTCCCTCAGAAAATTAACCAGGCATGTTGATGATAGATACTTTATTTTTAACGTTGCTGACATTGAACATCAGCAGCCTCAAGTCACTGAGCTGCAGAAGAAGATGAAACAGATGAGGAAGAACTGTTATCTTTTCTACTCCCAGGGGATGCTCGAGCAGGCTGAAAAAGCTCTGGGAAAAAAAGAGAAAGAAGCATCAACAACAGAAGCAGAGTGGCGCTCTTTTTATGACCGGTGTGGCGTGATTGGAACAGCTGTTGGAACTGCAATAGGATATGTTGTTGGTTGCCGTGGTGAACTGACATCTACAACAGGAGCTGCAATTGGAGGTGTAGCTGGTATGATCCTGTTTATGGCAACAGCGTTTTTGGTGGTACTTGCTAAATTTAAAATTAAAAAGAAATTCACCTAGATTTCATCATCATCACTGGGTTTGATTGGTTTTTTTCTTTAAGCTGATTACCAAATTTATAAATCTAGAAAACTATTAGTCGGAAATCATCATGGGTCAGTCATTTTATTTTTCAGCAGATCGAGAACCGGCTACGGTGTTTGCATCTGCTGCTGACATCTCAGAGCTCGATGCTACGAGATACCAGCAAGAGCTAAATGACTGGAGGCTCTGAGCCTCTACGCTGTCACTGTGGGATCCCACCACCACCCCACCAAATGGAAACCTTTGCCACATGAACACATCATCATTGTACATTATTATATACAACTGAACATTCACCAGGTCACCAGAGTTTAGGGTTCAGGTTTTGTATGAGCCACATGTTAATAAAAAACTAGATGTTAGATTCAGGTGATGTTTCTAATATTTTGGCTTTACGATGTTTCCTCTTGTGGGTCTGAAACAACTGAAACAGGATAAAAACAGGTGAAGCCCAACTCTGGATCTGCTGCAGTGACCTGTTGGATGTTAAGTGAACTTTTATCTTCATTAACCTGTGACTGCTTTCACATCCAGTGGTGATCTGTGAGATAACACACAGTAATGTCTTTAAATGTCTTTTTGTGTGTTGGACAGATCGATAATCTATCAGTTTGATCAGGTTAGATCCTGCTGGCCGTCACAGACTCTGTTCTACATTCATACAGTTTGTTCTCATTTTAAAGGATTTTTGGGTTTCAGGGTTTTCTTGTGTTTGTTCTCCTGGATAAACTCCATGTTCTCACTTTAGGAGTTTCTACAGGACTGTTTCCTGATACAAATGCAAATGTGTGCTTCAGCTTCAGTGCAGACGGTTTTCACATGTTTGTGGATGGAAACACTTCGGTGTCTTAAACCTGCAGATAGATATATATGATATATATTGTTTTCGTGCCTGAACTTGTATAGAAATATATAATCCATTACCTATACTCTAATATGTAATATGCACTCTTATGGCAATGCTAATTTTACTCATACTGCGGTCGCTCGCTATAACACGGTTCACCTTTCACGGCCTCGCTGTTTCGCTGATTTTTTGTGTGCTATATTTTTTTTGTATCATTGTGTTCTGCGTCCTGATCGACTGTAGACCATTGTCCATCTCCTCCGTGCCCTCTCTCCTGTACAGTACAGAATTTTTTACAGATTACAGCTTTTGTGCCTGAACTTGTTGTACAGGAAGTCCTGACCTTGTGCCTTTGAGCAGCAAACATGTGAACATGCAGACAGACAGTGGGACGTGTTTGCAGACGTCTCCCTGTGTTAGCAGAGGAACATGTCCGTCTCATAGATGGACCGAGATCAGAGGTCAAAGGTCATTCTCCTGTACATGTCGGACTTGTTTCACTTGTTGCCTTTGTGTAACCTCGTGCATGTAATAAAACAGAAGCAGGTTCTTGATAACCTGCTGAAAGACAGACGTCTTCTTCTCTTTGTGTCCTGATAGTCTCTGAGCTCCAGGAGCTCTCCACAGGAGAACGCTCTCAGATGTCCTCCTCTGGGAGATTGGACGGGTTGACCTGTATCGTTCACAGCTCAGAGTGCTGCTATGGAAGCACCTCAACCTGGTTCTAGGATCTGCCCGTCTCGGGGCTGCGGTTTGTTGGAAAGACAGATATCTCTACCTCTCTCAGACACAAACACAACCCAATCAACAACTCATAGTTTTGGTATTCATTCCCAGCGTGTCCTGTCAGGCTTTGGTGCAAATCCCCAGTAAGTGTCAACCCACCAGGCTTGGCAGTGAGATAAACTCCAACCTTCAAGCACACCTGAACCACTGAGCACAAATGTTTGATGTGAACAGTTTATTCTTCAATAATTAGACACATCAAACAGGAATGAGTGCATACACATGCACAGGATAGTTGAACACTGACAGATCTGAACCTTACTGAGAAAATGAAACATAAACAACTTCACTGAAAGCTTTAAAGTGTCTGATTCTACATGGATATAAAATCATCTGCAGCTGACTGACGGACCAAACTGTGACTCACAAAGTGAAGCAGGAGCTCCAATCAGCACGAAGACAGTAAAACATCCCAGCAGAAACAAACTGAACATGTTTCTACTGAGAGCAGAGTCTCAGAGGTGAAGCTGTGAAGCTGTTCAGTGAAACGCTGCCCTCTGCTGCTCATAGGAGGAAACACAGCCTCTAGCTTCAGCCTCTCAGAGCTGCAGCAGAGCAGCTGTGAGAGGCAGACAGCCCTGACGGTGAAACACTGTCAGCAGGTCTGACCAGGCTGGATTCATTCAATTCAATGTCATTTTTTCAATTTATTTCAATTCACAACAACAGTTGCGTCAAAGCACTTTATAATGTAAAGAGCCTACAATAATACAAATACAGGTAGTCTTCACATAGACTCTGTCTGGACAAAGGCCGAGCAGAGGTTGTGTTTCCTGCAGGAACTCAGGAAGTACAACCTGCCACAACCTGCTGGTCGTCGTCTACACAGCCATCGTGCAGTCAGTCCTGTGCACATCGATCCCTGTCTGGCTCAGCCGGAAGCAGGACAGGCCCAGACTGCAACACAATCAGGTCTGCTGAGAGCATCAAGAGCGCTGATCTTCCCTCCATTCACGGTCCAGGGTCAGGAAACAGACAGAAAACACTTGGTCCTGGGTCTTAGGACTTATTCTGAGTGTTTGCACTTCCTGTTTTATTTTGATAGTCTTCTGTTTCATGTGTACAGCGGTCCCTCGCTATAACATGCTTCACCTTATTTTACAATCATCTTTAATAAATTATAAATTGTGTTCATATGATATATTAAATTATAGCTGTTTGAATTATGTAAAGTATTATTTTATATAACAGCTATTAAGAGATAAAAGCCTGAATAAATAAAAACTCAGATCCCGAGAGATCCAGCAACTTCAAGGATTTAAAAAAAACTTTGATCTTTTGGACCTTTGATCCAAACTGTTACGGAGATCATGTGACCAGCACTGACGTCGCATTCAGAGTTTAAATATGATGATATAATAAAATCATTCTGACTCAGGTGATCCTGCATCAAATCCAGGTAAAAGCACACCTTTCTATGTGCTCTAAGTTGTTCTGAGCAGAAAACTATCCCACATGCTGATATGAGTGTTCAAAGTTTACCCAGAATGCACTTTGTGGCGAATTATCAGAAACAGATCAGCAAACATCAAACATCTGCTTTCTGCTCCTCTGCGTCACAGCCATGAACCTGCTGCAGGTGATTCACACTGTGATGGATCCATCACACTGATGCTCACAGCTGGGTCTGGACAACATCGAGCTGAACTTAACCAGATGTTGTCTTCAGACTGTGAGTCTTGGAGTGTAAAGCTGATGTGGATCAGCTCTCATCGTGGCTGCAGGCACTTCAGGTCACTTCACCCTTTGCCCTGAGCCTGTGTCAGACGTTTCAAACCCAGACAGACCAGCAGGTGTAGTTTCTCCTGTGGCCGCCAGAGGGCAGACGTTCAGCAAACAGCTGCACTGCTCCTCAGAGTCCAACATCCTCAAACCAGGAGGCGGGCTCAGTGCTGGGGAGGAGCAGGACCATCAGAGAGGAGGGGGTTATCAGAAGTGAGTCAGGACGGCTCACTGCTCCTCTGAGCATCACAGGGAAACACGAGTGATTTAAGCCTTAAAGCTGTGATTTTTAGAGTGTTACCTCAACCACACTGATGTAGCTGCTGTTGTAATCAGAGGTTGTCCGAGATTTTCATTTCAAAAGCCAAAATAGCTCTCGCCCACACTCTGACCCACAACTTTTCTCAGTCATTAATGATAAAAGAGTTTAAGGGTTTGAGAACAGCTTGGTCGCTGAAGCTGCAGCTGGTAGCTTATAATAACATATAACCTCCAATAAAAGTCCTGGAAATTCACTCACAAAACTGAAGCTCAGATTTCTTAGAGGGTCTGTTAGTACAGTGACCTCACAGACGATGTGTCATATCAATGAAAATGCCCCAGCAGCACAAACACGGTGCAGAGATCTAGTTCAGGGACTCCAGTTAGCTGAGGTGAAGCCTAGAAGACTGCTAGCGGCTACCTGTGTCACCATCCACCTGTCTGAGCGTTTTCTGGTCTGATTACTGACCTGGAACATCCGCAGTAAAAACAAAGGAGAAATGCACATTTCAAGACAAGAAATAGTCGCCTAACATGTTTCATTTTTGAATAGATATTTCTGATTCCTGTGTAAAAGAAAGGACGTGTCCTTTCTATCAAAGGTCGTCGTACTGATGTGCACTTCTGCCAGCTCTACGCAGGATCTTTGTGAACGGCTTCATTTTATTTTCAGGTGCTTGCATCATCTTTTTTGTACACACTGTTTTAGATACCACGTCCCACTTTCTTAAAAAGAGTTAAACTAATTAAATTTTAATAAGTGAAAAATCCCAGCACCCTGTTGGTTGAACCTTTCTTTTTTTGGTCCTTGAGTCTGCATCTCATTCTGACTCGTGCTCTGTGATTGGACGGCTCTTTCGGAAACCGGTTTGGTGATGTGTGTTCAAGGGGAGGGAACTATACAGACGTTATTATAAAAACATGAAGTTACAAAGAAGAGGACCCACTCGTGACTGCCCACCAACCACATCTAGCAGGCAGGATGGCCGGCAAACATGCAAATGATGGTAAGAACGTTTTATATTTGAGCTTTTGGATGAACCAGCAGAGCGAGGACTCGTTCTCTTCCTCAGACTAATATTTCCAGGTTTACGTTCGTGTATGTTACTGTCAGCCTGTGGAGTTACCTGTAACTTTGAAAGTAACTTTACATTTCTCACACACTTTGGTGTTTTAGTCAAACTCAGCTTTCTTGTCACATTCAACAGATGCTGCCAATATTCAGTGACGCTTCCACCGTCACACAACAGCTGCTCGTTAAACTGTTCATGTTATTAGACAAAAACACAGAGAACAGCAGTTCATCTGGAGAATTCAGTGAAGTTTAAAGACTTCAGCTGCAGATGTTCACTGCACGATTTAAACTAAATGTTCAAAGTTTAGAGTTTCACTCAAAGGTCCCTTACAGATGTTTTACTAACTTGGTGTTTCAGCAAAACTAGAAAGTCATTTTGTTTCTGACATGATGTAATTTATGTTATTTATTTATATTTATAATGGAGTGCTTTACTATCATTGGTTGTAGTTTAATAGTTACAGTTTCAGACATTTTCTTCCTCTTAGCTGTTTAACTGTATTCTCAGGGCAGAGCTCCAGGAGGTGTGAACATCATTAATGCTCCTAAAATTATTTTCATACTTAAATAAAACTTTACTTTCATTTTTATCCATGTATTATACTGAAAGGGTTTTCTTTAAATAGATGGCTGCCTGGTTTACATGGCAGGTGACTGCTGCAGAACTGAGACGCCTTAAAAACCATCTGAAGCCTTTCAGGTGTTTTGCAGCATTAGACATAAAGAGCACCGAGTCATCAGCAAAGCAGCGTTTAGCTCAGTGAGACTCTACAAAGCTGGAGTCAGCTGTTCAACCCAGACTAACTGATCATGTCTTTGAAAAGCAAAGTAAGCAAATAGGATGAATTTAAGCTAATGTCAGTTGTTGTTGTCTAGATCAGTCACACTGTGACTGCTGCAGTGTTGATGTGTGATGAATGTCGTGTAAATTCTCAAACAGGGCCAACAAAGCTGAGGATTATCCTCGTTGGGAAGACTGGAGCTGGGAAGACTTCAACCATCAACACGTTCCTGGGTAAACCTGCTGTGAAGAAGAACCGCCTTCTCTCAGATACAACACCGTGCAAGACGGAGACGGCACAGTTTGGAGACCAAGAACTGGTTTTAGTTGATACTCCTGGTCTGTGCCACACCAAGCTTACAAAAGAGGAAGTGCTGAATAAGATCACTGCATCCGTGTTTGAGGCTGATCAGGGTCCTCATGTGTTCCTGTATGTGCAAAAATGGGAGGGAGATAACACAGAAGACGAGAAACGAGTGGAAGCCCTGAAGAAGATGTTTGGCGACGCGTCAGGGCCTTACTTTTTCCTCTTGATGACTGTAGATGGAGCTGAGGATGAGGAT